TTATTTCTAACAAGATTTTTACTACAATTGTATGTTAATAATGCTAAAGACTTTTCGGTTTATTTCACATCAGTATTAGTAGAGATAAGTAAAAATTAGTCTTTAAATGGAGCAACGTGATATTATGGTACGTCTTTTAAAATATACGAATTAGAATTGTCTTGAATTATGCGATGAATTTTCAGCTCCATAGAAATTATATTATATTTATGTACATGTACCGTTTTATATAATGTGTATCATATATATATATATATATATATATAAAATAATGTCTCCGGGGGAAGAATAAAAAAAATTGATTTTCTCAGAATATTGCGTAATCTTGCAGGTGAAATTATTTGATCGCTAAAATCACCTTACTGTATAAAGTACATCAATTTGCGGGAATAAAATTTGCAAAGTTCCAGTATATATTCCATTAACGTCTCACCGGGCGGGCAGCCGAAAATGTATTTCTCGCTTCATTACGGCCACGTTATTACGATATTAACGATACATATATCCCTCGGTCGCGGATCAATTTTCCCCTCGAACCTCTCGCATACGTTTCGAGAGTTTGCGTAATTACGCGCCGTTGGGTTTCTTCTTTTTCATTTTTTTCCCCTCGCTCTTGCAAAATACACATATCGTCGTTGACGGAACGACGTGCAACGGCGGTTTGGCTCGGATGACGCGTGTTTCAACACGCTAATGCGCAGAAATAAAAACTCACGAAGCTTTATATTTCATTAAGGCGCCGTGCGATCGAGACACGTCGCGTCGGTTCAACATTTTTCGCTTCATTATCGAAGCCGCGTATCGCAACATTAATGATTCTTTTCCCGCCCGCCATTCACGTCCGTGTCTTCGTCCTCGTCCTCGTCCTCGAGGAGAACCGCGAAACGCCACACAGTCCGAAAAGCAATTACGGTGACCACTCGGTCGGTCGGTCGGTCGGTCGGTCGGTCGGTTGGTTGGTCGGTCGGTCGGTCGGTCGGTTGGTTGGTCGGTTGGTCGGTTGGTTGGTCCACCGGACTGGGCTTTGCACTACACGACAGATATCCGATTTCACCGTCAGCTTCCGAGAATGAGAACCAATTACGCGGCCCCGGGGCATTAAGGAATCGATCTAATTTGCGCGCGCGCTTGACGGTGCGGTGCGGCGCGGCGCGGCGCGGCGTGACGTGGCGCGGCGTGGCGCGGCGCGGCTCTTAATGGCGAGAGAGCCGGCCGATGAAATTATACGAAAATGTAATCAAGGCGCTTTTTGTCTCGTTTCGCTCCGAGCGGGGCAGGGGCGTAATTAGGAATGCTTTTGCGCCTCGCGACGGGGGACACTTGTTGCTCATTCCGCTCCCCTCCCGCTCCCTCATTTTCTCTCGCCGCGTCTCCCTCCGTCTAACTCCTCTTCTTTTCCTCTTTTTTTTTCCCCACCCTTCATCCCTTCCGTCCTTTTCCCGCTCGCTCTGTCTTTCATTCTCTCCCGATTATCTCTCCTCCTCTCGCTTCTTCCCATCGTAAATTTGTCTCCTTCTCCATCCCGCTCTCGCGCGGCACTCCGGTAGTCTCGAGAGCGACGAAAAAGGATGAAGGAACCAACGGGGGGAAAAAAAGCCGGGAGATGGAAGGACTTCGCCACAGAAGGAGAGTAATTAACACCGTGGTGCCCAGGTGCGCGGCCCTAAGAAGTCGTTTATGGATCGCTCGGTTGCCGCGGCTGCGTAGCCGGCCATCAATTAGATTCTCTAATTAAAACAGTCCGCTCTTCTCGCCGCGGCGGTGCCGCATTAACTCGGTCGGCCTCACCGAAGTCCCACCGATCAACTTTGTCATCGTCCACCGGGCGGAGGCGCGACGGATCGTCGCGTTTCTTGTTCGAGGGCCGAGCCAGCTTGCACGGCATTCGATAAGAGCCGCGATATAACACCTCAGGTTACTTACGGTATGAGAATGTCGAACTTTCGCAAAACGCGCTCTCGAGATCGATGCCGGATGAGTAATCGTGTTTCGAACGAGCCCCCCCTTTTACATTCTACATCTTTCAAGGATGGAACCTTTTTGGATGATTCAAAATATTTTCACGTAATGCACGGTGAATCGCAAAATTTAACATAAGTGAACGTAATCTGACTTGTAATTGCACTTTTGCAGCTCCCATTCACCATAATTTTATTTCCAGACGTGAGTTTGTTAAGGAAGTGCGCACGTAACGTCCGCCGATCTTTCTGTAATTTAATCGAATAGAATATTTTGCACTACACTCGTGAATTAAAATGTAGAACGTGTTATTACGGAATTTGTAGTTCTTTGCTCGTTCGGAGTAGATTTAGGGATCGTGAGATAACGATTATTTTAAGTGATCAAATAAGAGTTATCTGAAATATACATACAGTTATCTTTATGTTCGATCGAGTTTCCGATGCTCCTCCTAATGTAAGATGTACCGTCGTTATCACGAGAGATAATATCGAGACAAAGAAGTCGTGGCGTGCAAAGTGCGTAAGTGAACGCCTTAGCGACAAAGGCAAAGGGGTTCGCCGCGCGTGCAATTTTAATTATGGCTACCAGCGTGTGTCGCTAATTGCAGGTAGCCCGACGCGCTCACCCCACGTCATCACACTTTGATTCGACTTTTTCCCCGGGGCATTACAAATGGCTACCGACGTGGTCGCGCGCGCTGCCGGACAGCATTCCTCTTCGTGTCATTAGTGGCGACTTTCTGTGCAGCGAGGGAAGGAAGGACTCGAGACACGGCGGGGAAACGCAGACGGGGAATGAGAGACAATCGACTACTACTTCTGTGCCTTCCGTGTAGACGTGTAGCCACGCACCAATCGCGCCTCTCGGCAACCGACAACAAGTAGCCGACTCGGAAATCGCAGCCATCTAAATCAACGTCGCGCGTTCACCGCGACGAACGGGCGAAATAACGGCCGAGAGATCTGACGCCCTCGACCTCGAGATCCTCGCGAGATACGTACCGGCGTATCCACGTCGATTTAAACGAAGTATGAATTTAGGATCTCACATAAATTTCTCTGCTTTTTCAGTTTTAGTGCTTACGATTAATTTCCGATCCCGAAAAAACAAGGTATTTACTCGAGAAATTCGAGAAAAAAGAGAGAAAATTCTCCCTGGGAATTTTCTGATTTTCAAGGCAATTAAAATATTAAAAATTCTAAAATGAAAATATTTTTATATGTATTTTATAAATAAATATATATTTATTGTGTCTTGACATTTTCCATTCATAGAAATTTATAAATCATAAAATTAAGAATTACTCAAATTTCAATAATTTCAAAAAACTTTAAAGGAATATGTAAGGATTCTTAAAAATAAATATTTTATATTTTACATAAAAATTTTCAAACTTTATTTATAAACAAAAAAGATATGTAACTGGTACAAAATTCAACTTTTATAAAATTTTTAAAATAAATATCCATCTTTATTAAACAAAGTTACATGACTAACACGAAATCATTGTTTTCAATATTGAATATTGGCTTAGTCATAAAATTAATATGCTCTGAGTTTAGAGTGGATCCATTGTTATCGTTAATAATTCAAACTCCCGATTAAATAATTTAAATATCAGAAAAAGCAGATTTTCCTCCTAATTCCCCAAATTTTTCCTGATCTTTTTAAAATTAGTAACTAATTTAAATTCCGTTCCATATAATTATTTTGACGATCACAACAAAATTATTTTTAGAACTATATCTGGCCAAATTTTTAGATACTTCAAAACTGTTCTTTCCATGAGTCTTTCGAAAAGAAATTGCCATTGAAAACCTTTAGAAATCCATTGTCCTTTATCTCGTATCAAAAAGCTCGATGGAGAAGAAGAAATATTGCGAAATAGTATCGAAGAATGCATCATTATATAAAAATGCGAGAGTGGAAGGAGCAATTTTATACAATTCTCAAATGTAACATAACTGGACGGTGTTTACGCGATTATGTTGTTCGCCCTGTAACAATGGCGAGAATGTAGTCTCGCTCTATGATTTGAGATCTGCGAGTGGAGTTTGTTGATCATCGCGGAGTTATGTTTGAAGGCGCACTTCGTCCGAGATGGTTATGCGTCGCTTTATGTCGGCGCGGAATACTGCATGGGAAAGCTTGTAAAATGTAAACGTGAAAGTGTAACCCATGACGTTGGCTATCATTTCAACGATCGAACTCTATTTTCGCGACATGTGTTTATTTTATTGATATTTTATTGATTGCGTTTATCGAATTATTTTCGTGCCTTTGGACATTGCAGCGGCTAATTCGAGTCTTGTCTCTTTTTCTGAGGCAATTAAAATTTCAAATTTTAAAGAGAATTTTGTTTCTTTTCTACTTGAATAAGTAACAAAGTAATTTTGGGCAAATACCGAGTCAATTATTTATTCTCAATTTCCATATTAAGCATCTTTAAAGTTAAGCCTAACTTTTTATTTTAAAATTAGTTAAGAAGAATTAGTTAACGCTTTAATGAATGTTATCATTGCGAAAAA